CGCCATTTTGCGCATTTGACAGTGTACTGACAGTGATAAAGTGATTCTACCGGCTCCTCTTCATTCTCGCTTGCCCTCTCTTACTACGTTCCACTTCTTTTTACCGACTGCCTTTCTACGCCAGTACCTTCCACTCCTGTGGAACGCAGCACACAACTTCTTAATTCTAATTCACTGGTTTCGGAAACATATTTACTGGGGGTCTTCCTCAAGTTTTCGGTGAACTTTCCTATGACATTTTGTTTTAATCCGCATGTTGCGTTGCCACGATATTTAAAAATTACTGGCCAACAACGCGTTAGAGGTCTTCTCAGCGCCATCACCATGGTTTGCGACATTTCGCGTTTGTAGGTCATAAATGCATTTGATTGGTGGGCTTCATCGCTTTGCGCTTCAGGATTTGCGTCACAGTGCTACGTTTCACACCTCATAATCTCGCGGTTTCGCATATCCAACGCAGTGAAGAACGGTGTGAAAACCACCCTATGTCTTAAGGGTTCAAAAGATTGTTCCAGGAACTTCCTGTTGCCAACAGGGCTCGAACTTTGCGTGATCGGAGGTGGGTGAGCTAAAAATGCGCGTGGAATACGTTTTCGGTTAAGCAGCCTTAGAGTTCACGCGAGCGACTATCACTCCCTTAACCTGGGCACATTTCTCTTGAGTGCTAGTCTACTTATATTGCAATTGAGTAGCTAGTGAAGGCAACAAGTAATCGGGCTGACAGGGTGTTACTCCAAAAAAACATTCTCAAGAAGCCTACAACCAGTTCAGGCACATTTTGTCATTCTATAACTGCGTTTCACATCAAAGCTTGCCAAAATAAGCCATAATCTCACTGGACAGTATCACAACTGCTCCAAGATCGCATCGTATTACAGTGGAGTCGACGTCATCTTTGAAGGTATTGTGGACAGTCTAAGGGGTCACGTTTAACGCGCCAATCCAATTTGCTGATACAGCTTTTGCGACACTTGTTTAATCAAGAGGAGTTTGCAGATTGGGTCTCTAGCGCATAATTTAGTCTTACATTCTGCTATAATATGGTAAGTCTATGCACTACTGCGCATCGATTAGTTAGTCAGTTTTTGGTACGCAGAAATTTTCCGGGTGTCCGTCAATTCGTTAAAAATTCAGTTTCTCGAATTCATTTTTTTAAATCATCTCACACTAATTATCACTCGTGTGCAGCTCCAGCTTCTCACAACCGTCTGCTCTGCGGCCACGTGCTGGTAGCCCCAAAGTAGTGTTCGGACAGGTGCTACTAGGTTATTTAAGTAAACATGTTGTATCAATATGGACCGTGAGATGAGTAATTTTGGATCCCGGCAAATTCAGCAAGTCAAAGATGTTGATACTAGGTAGGTTAAATAGGCAGTATTAGTTGATAGTCGATCTTACGAATTTGCACTTCACAAGGCGGTTTCGGCAGACTACTTGACTTTAAAGGGAAGACTTTAAGTTCTGGCTCTAACCACTTGTGAAGTCTGCGATGTCTGATTCACCTGCTTAATGAAGCCCTGTACTCAAATAAATCAACGGAGTTGCGAATCCCCTCTCCCCCCTGTCTGCTCATGTGTGTGTTTTTGTTCTGGTAACATGTCCTGTGACGTCGTCTGATGCGTCAGCCAGCTCAATCCACGGTTGTTTACATCGTAGTTGCATTGTACGTGAGTACCCAGCGTCCCTAAGTCTCCATTTTGGCTCGTTGTTTGCCGCTTCGCTTCGTTAGTCTGGCTCTTTACAAGCCCTTCCTCGCGGTTTGTGCCTTGCTTACTCAAATTCGCTTAATCGAAACAAACTCGAAAGGACAATTACCGTCAGTTTTCGCCTGTGCAGTGAATGTCACGGTAGTGTTGGCGAATCGGCTGCGAGAAATGACAGGTGACCAGGCTGTGGGAAGCGATTAATCATTCTCGCCTTACTACACACACACACACACGCACGCATAGCTAATTATCACTGGCATGGCCACGCCAGTCTCTCGTTTTAACGAATTCGAAGTGTAAAAACAGCATCCATCACCAAAAACACACACACACACACGTACACATTGGGCTAATTATTGCACAGCCCTCTTGCTCACATTCGGCTATTGACTTGGGCGCTGATTGGTCAACCGTCAGTGCGTTTTCCACGTGACCTCGGGGTGACGTCACGGCATTAAAACGAGCGTCCCTATCGTGGATACTTTGCCTCGATCGAACTTTGACGTAGGCGTAGCGCAATCTCTTCCATTGTTTCTGCTAAGTGCCTCCGAGTCACAAGTAATGCTGCTTGATTCGCCAGCAAGCACATGCACGCATGTAACTGACGTCAGAGGAGAAAAATTGCCTCGGTGTATGATGTTCTAGCGTGTTCGCATTACTCTCTCTCTCCCTCTCGTTTGCAAAATTGCCTAAATGAACAGCGTCCCTAGTTCTCACTCAGTTTCTTTCTTGTCTTCGTCACTCAAAAGATGTGCAACTTCGTGAGCGTAGGTGAACAAGACGCGGCTATAAGATACCGAAGATTAGTGTGTGTTTTTAAGTTTGCTAAATCTTAAACTCGGAAAAGTGAAAGTCACTTCAGGGCTCGTGTCCTGATTCAAAAATCCCATGAATCAAAGGCAATTCACTACAATTAATCAATACTGCCTCGTTAAGTGGGGCAATGCTCACTTGTGTTTGGCTGATTCACGATGGATACAATTAGCAGTTTTTATACATATTGCACCCCTAGGTTTGTTCTGTTGTGGACTAATACTATAGAATTGCCCTCTATGTTTGTCATTGTCCCTAGGGCTAGTGACTTCAAATGATCCACCCTGTACGATTTGTCTCCTTTCGGAGTCAAATCAACCACAGATCAACATCTGTGTTTCCTCACCATTAATTCTCGCGTCCGTTTAGAGAACTTTTGAAATCTGCTTAGAGAAAATGATAGGTTTCCGAGATGTCCTTACAAGATCCTCGATCCCCAATCCTTGGAACTCGGAGACGAGGATAGAGGGAGAGAGGCAGAGCATCGTGCGGCGATGTGCGTGTGTTCGCATAGGTGTCTTACCGTAGTTGGTCGCTGGCACCCGCCTTCGTTTCACTTCCCACCCCGAACTCCAGTCAAATGTCATAGTCCACCGCACGTAAATGCCAGCCGACGTGAACACTCGGTGGTGGCTTGACTTCTTCCTCCACTTTCTCTTCGTGAATTTTTCGCCGTCTTTGCGTGTGTGCGTGATGCTTTCGAGCGAAAAGTGCAGTTTGGGTGTGTGCGTGTGTGAGTGCGGGCGGACGGGCGAACGAGCGCACCAACAATATGCCCAAGCACTCCTTTTCTTTCACATTCACTGTTTTCGTTGTTGCGCTGCTGTTGATGATGATGATGAAGATGATTGTGTGAGGGGCACGCCGTCTGTTCCTGCGTATCTGACATCCCACCAGTGCCGTGGTATTTCCCGTTGAATGATTCAAACACTGCATTTTTCGTCCTCCAATTTACCCTCAAAATCACTGCTGTTCAGCACTTAGCAAAACAACTAGTACGATTTCTTGCTATGCACGGTTAAAGCAAATGCCTGCCACCTTTACTGATTCTCCAAGGGTTTATCGAACCACGGAAGGCAGGGTGTCATGGATTAGGAGGTTGAACGTTGGGTCGCACTGTTCACCACGTCTAAGTAATAACACCACCTTACACACTCCACACGTAAGTGATTACAAGGAGTTGAGGGGAGACACGCAAAAACACATATTTTGATCGAATCTGGGGTCCGACCACGGACGGTCAGCACAGATAGGCCAATTTTTGCATATCGGACACGTTGTGGAGCCCGCTACCTCCCCAACACCGGCCAAAACCACTGACTTTCTTAAGTCAGGGAAATTCTCCCGCCACCCACCCCCCTTAGCAATCATTATTGATCCATCTTTGAGACTAATTTAAAACCAAATAATGCTAGATCGAGGCGTAAATCAACGTGATTTTATCAAACCTATTCATTATTGAACAAGTTTTCAAGAGAATTGCTGGTAAGCGATAGAACAGGATTAAGATCCGAATGTGGATGATCCGTCAGGTCTTTCGGGTGATTTCGGATTACAGCTCTAATCATATTTGCAATTTAATCAATTAAATCCGTCGACATGACTTGACCACGTTTTTAGCAGTCTACGACGCGGTTGTGTCTAGGCCAATTCAAGAATCTATGCTTAAAGGTTTCTATTTGATTCAAGTAGGGTTCAAACCTAGAATTACCACCATCCACAACCAAGTTGGTCATCTGCGTACATCGTAAGCGCTATCGACTGTCGAGGTGATAAACACTACCTTATTTTGTAAAATTGGTTAAATTTTTGTGCGTTATTTGAGGGTTTTCTGCGTGGTCCGGATACCACGAAGAACAGACTTATCTCGGTTTCCTCGAAATGTGTTTGGACGGTCAAACGCTGCTTGCTCGGCGTGTGACTGACACGACTCCTGTCCACGCACGCTTGGCTTCACTCACACCAACGACTTGAGGGTTTGTGACAATCAAGTGGTTGGCTTGTTTTACGGATTCCTCGTGTTTTTTTTCCACACCATTCACCGTATCAACACGCACAGGCGCTCGCTATTGACCTGTCGTTGTGCACTTTTCAGTGCACACCTCCGCCACCAATGGACGTGGGCCCTCAAGGTCGTGCAGGATGTGGCCTGTCAATCGAGGTGTTTATTGCAGACCAGTAAAAGAGAAAAAAAATGGTGATACTGTGTGGATATACCGAGAAGAACACTGCAGGCTTTCCAGATAAATATTTAGTCGTTTTATAAACACGCCGCACCTGGTCACGAAAATTTCTCAAGCCAATTAAAAACTTTGGACGTGGGGGTTTCTGACCTCTTATTTATGCAGCACTTTACACAATTTCTAGTTTGTGTTCTGGTCTGGCATATTCAGGTTCTTGTCTATTAACCTTGGAACACCAGTTTGTAAAACGCGCGAAAAACCAGAACAGTAAAACAATGCGAGTGAGATAAGCTAATTCATGGTACTTTTCGCTGTTCTGCTTCAGGTCTGCTTCTCTCGTCAGGACCTCTCCACGCACAACTCAACCACTCACAAACAGGATCCGCGACCCTACCGCTGCGACCAATGCGGACGCCAGTTCTCCACCTGTGCGTACCTCTCTCAGCATCGGCGTATCCACAGTGGCATCAAGCCGTACGTTTGTCGGTATTGTGACCGCAAGTTCACTCAACTCAGCCATGTGCAACAGCACGAGCGAATCCACACCGGCGAGAAGCCCTACAAGTGAGTATTTAAACACCCTCGTTTTGAGTTGTTGACGTTCAAGCGAGTAAGTTTCACACGAAACTAACTTGCACACTACATTCTCGAAAATCGTGCTATTCTCATTGGTCAAGCATCTGTCACTGTGTCTTTGATAATTGAACACCGCTGGTACCTTGGGGATAGCTAGGGCGCGTTGCCACCAACCGGTAGTTGCCAAAAAACATTGAAAACTACATATTTGAGCTCAAATCAAGGCGGCGGCGGCGGCGGAAATTTGGCCTTGAAAACGCATTAGCACTGTCTCGTGGAGGTTGCCATAGCAGCATTTTTCTCGTGCTTACTCGCCTGTCAAATTGTGACACGTGGCCCTTGCCCTCCCTTCTCACTCGCTCCCTCAAAGTCAACTCTTTCTCTCCTTCAACTCCTCTTCATCCCTCGCGAAGGGCACTGTAGCCCAAACAGGTAGCATCATCATCACCATCATCGTTGAAAGTGTCAATACATGCCATCAGTATGCTGCCGTATCCAATCCCTATCATCTCACAGTGGAAAGCCACTATTGGTTAGAAGGTGTACCCTGTTCACCGAATTGTGACGTTTTAGCATCTATCTGATGGTTATGTGTTTGCAGCGTTACAACCGATAGTCCGATAATCCTGGCAAAATGTGATAGACCTCTGGACTCAAAGATGATCAAATCTTTCTCGCAATAGCTTGCAGTTAGTGGAATTGCTTTGCCCAAATAAGTTGGATCTTTCTCCAATTAAATCGACAATCTAGGAATACCTGAGAGACCCGAGCAATCGATGTCTAAACTGCCTGACAGCTCAATTATTGACTCGTTTGCTTAAAGCCGTCGACACATCGGAAATCGCCTTATTTAGCATTGCTCTTCGCTAAACTCTTTCCGATGCGCTCGCGATAAGTGGTTACGAACTTGGTCGATCAATAAATCCTCCTTGTAGTTGAGTTTCAGTAAACGGAATTTACTCAGGTTCTCATCACATAACTGACAGGTCGTTATGATGAGCCAAGCAGGCAAGCGATTTCAAGAATTGCACTCCGGCAATCAGATAAATATTCCACAAATCCTGCCTGTGGTTGACAAACCGGCTTGTCCCAAGCCCACGAGATATCGGTGATCCCTTTCGTAAGAGGTTTTCCCGCAAATTGCTTATTCTCTTGGCATGGTTCCTCTCAAAGTTTCATTTTCCGTGAGGCTGTACATACGCGTTAGCAAGAACACGATCTAACCCTCCCCCTACTCTCACCAACCTATTCCATGTTCTCTGATGGACGGATGCGCTATTCCTGCCTCACTGACTGTTGTAGCCATAATGTGGTTGATTAGGCCGACTCTGCCTGTGTGCACTTCTCACGACTGTGATTTCTCTGAAACGAGGTCTTGTTCAAGTCCACACGCAACAAGTTTTTTGAACCTGTAGTTGGATGTTGAATGCACTTTTCCAATTCTGGATATTCCGCCGAAACAGAACCTCCCGGAGGTTGAGTGTAAACGGGGATTGAAGTGTCGCGTTCTAAATGTTCCCGATTCAACGTCACACTGACGCTTCGAGAGAAAAATCTAACTGGTGGCTTCAAGGTCACGTGCAATTAATGAAACAATGAGAACAGGATTCGAATCGATCGCCGTGCGCGCGCGTGCGTTTGTGTGTGTCGATGTCACAACTAAATAGGAGGCTGTGTTTCGTGATTGTGCGAGTGTGTGTGTGTGTGTGTGTGTGCCTATGGTGATGCGATGCGCGCAACGAAGTTGCTGGTGTTTCCTCAATTGTCTTATGGGTGGATGCGCATTTGCCATCTTTTTCTGCCACAAGCCTGTCTTCCTCCACATTCACTTTTCCCCGTAAATGGACCATAATTAGAGCCGAGAGAACGCGAGTGGAAATTGACCTTTTCAACCTTCACTATTTTCGCCCCTGTCGGTGTTTTGAAGGCCTGACAACTTCGCTTTATGCCTGCGCGAACGCAAGTCCGCATCCCTGAAACGCTCTATTTTGGGTCAAGAGTAACATAACGAAGTTAGCAATTCAGATAAAGGCCGCGGTGCAACGCACTGCACTGTTTAAGCCCAATTCAGATCAATGCCTTCTATTTATACCACATAAGATAATTTTTGCATTGTCTTTAGTCTTGCTCGTGCCGCCACATAAATAGTACTTTCCGTGATTACCCAAATTGCGCGCCAAATGGGATGTCTTCACATTTGGCGGGGATTCGGTTTTAAAATAGTTTCATCAAGGTAATTACTTGGTCCTGGTAAAGTGGGCAAATTTGCGGTGTTTTAATCGGCTATTATTGAGAGCGATAATCTCTGAAGCCAGTTCAGAACGCTACGGATGCGAAAAAAATCGATTCTTTATACTGGTGGCGGCGTGAGTCATCACACGTGGCTGTTTAACACTGAAGGTCTATCGATCGGCATTCCTTTTTGTTCGGTTTTTTTATTCCTGTGTAATTCAGCATCCATTTTTTTTTATTTTAAAGTGTGGCAGTCGAAGGGAACAACCCGTTTTTTTTCAGTCACTCCTGTCAACAATGTAATTATCTGTGAAGCCACCTACATTATTATTAATAAATAAGCATTATTAGTTCCATTAGGCCTGCTCCAAAAATGTTTTGCATCGATTATCTCTCCAACTAATGGGTGGCCAACGGGAAATAGAACTCCACTTAGCGAGGCGTTTTTTGCTCTTTTTCGATGCTGGCGTTCCTCGCTCTCACACGCAACACGCTCTGTGTGTGTGTGTGTTTGTGCGTAGAGATGGAGATAAAGCATGTGTGTGTGTGTGTATTTTCGTGTTTGCGTTACTCGCAAAACTGCTGTCGCGTGTGATCATCGTGTGGACATCATCAACATCATGTCACATTCAAGTAGCACCACTCGAATTCCCACGTTTTGTGAGTTGTAAATTAACTTATAATATACACGATTGATTTCATTGGTCACCGAGCAAGCGGCGCTCTCTTCAATTAACCTCGTTCAAATCCTTCATGGCAATAAAATACCTCACACCACGAAGGTCCAATTTCTGATTTAATGAATTTTTTACTGATATTACATGATTCAGTATTTTTATTGAAAAGTGTGGTTTGGCAATTACGAAGAAAACTGTGCCATATTGAAAGTGACTCGATCGATTAACCAAGCTGGCAAGTGAGCATGTGCGTTACAAAATCGAATTGAAATTCCCCACCAAACCACTCGGTGGTTTTAAATTTAAAATAAACGCAAAAAAAGAATGATCACAGCTGCCACAGCGGCGCGCGCAGGTGGTCGAATGTAGTCGCTTTGCTGGCTGTCGTTGTTTGCGCCTGGCATCGGCAGGGGAGAGGGCGAGGGAGAGCGTGATTAATGAACTCCTAAAACCGCCCGCGTTTTGTTCGCGAAGGCTTTTGTTTTCGTGTCTAACGTGTGTGTGTGTGTGTGTATTTGTCATTCACACGCCACTTACTCAGCCACACAGTGACCTTGAACGTCACTGATATGCCAAAGAAAACAAGGCCACAACAAGCATATTAAATGATACTCAAGCGAGCACATGTAGTTTAAAAGTACACAACAGCGTAATTGACTCATTGAATGCAGAGTGAGTGGGTGGGTGGGTGAGATACCCTCTTATCAGACTTTTCTCGTAAAACGCTACATATGTTGGAAGCGCAATTCTAATTTAAAACAATCGCCATTTCTTACTGGTCCATTCGACTACAGCCAATTAAGATCCAGAAAGACGTAGGACGTGTAAACATGCCAAACCAACTGCTGCCCAGTCGGCCGGGATTGTAACCTGTTTAATTAAATGAAATTAATTAATTACTGTCGAATTTTCATGGTGTAGGTGATCATTTGCTGAGAACACTGGGAAAACGTTTTTCACACACAACAATGTCAACGTCATTTTCTAGGGTCTTAACAAACATGATAATTCTTTTTCTACTTACTAAGACAAAGTAGCAATGATTTTTCTTTCCTCGCAGATGCGCCACCTGCTTCAAGAGCTTTACTCAGATGTCGAATCTACAGTCGCACCAGCGGCAACACATGAAGGGTAAACCGCATCGATGCGAGAATTGCTTTATGTCCTACGACACAAAGGAGGAGCTAGACGTCCACGTTCAGGCAAAACATTCGGGAAATCGATACGCCAAGGTGAGGCTGCTAAGCAGTGTAGAAACTACCTTAATTGGCAGAATCAGCATTCTGTCTTAGTCATAACCCGATGTAAGGCGTTAGACGTAGAAAAAGGCGGTTTTATTACCTGCCTGAATTCAGCCCCTCGATGAGTACTTGGATGCGTTCTTTACTTTAGTAATTTGCCTCTCAAACTACACGGTTACCTTGGCAAGTTCTTGAACTCTTTCCATGGCCCCTTGAAGAACAATTAGCAGCTGTGCTACGCATAATAGGCATGAAGGAAGTGCCCTGGCTTTAAGAAGACAAATTAATGCAAATGACATGCACTGGTAGAATTGCGAGGACCTTGATTGCTTGCTTTAGAATGCGTGTTAAATGCACGTTAAACATTGTTGCTTTGTCGTGATTACGAATTCTTCGGTATATCGAATTAGGTGCTAGTGTGTCCTGCGTGCTCGAAAAGCTACAATTCGGAGACCTACCTAGCCAAGCACATGGAGCGTCACAAGGAAGCAGTCACTAACGCCAACGTGGGTCGCTTCGGCGCGTTGAACACGTCAGCTGGAGCTCTAGGAGCGCTCAGCGGATTCATGACGGGTCACCATCCAGGCATGGGAGGACGTTCGATGGGCCCGGTGACAGAACAGAGCCTTCACGAGGAGCTGCAACAACGTATTGGTCACCCTCAGGACCTCCAGAACCTCCAGAGGGCTGCCGTGGCCGCCGCAGCTTCCATCATGTCGCCGATGGGTCCTGGATCCGTCGGAGGTCTGGGAGGACATGACACGAGTCATCTACTCCACCACCTACCTTCGGGCTTGCAGGGTCAACTTGCTGTCGCGCAGAAAGGTCATCAACAGGGCATGCATGGCGGTGAGACCCATCCTGGAAATCATTCGACCCCCGGGTTCCCCGATGCCTACCAACAGCACCAAATGCTCGCAGCGAGCTCCCCCTACGCCAATCAGATGCCCTCATTCCTAGGCCGCGGAGGCGGTGAACGACACATGCCTCGATTCCCGCCAACACCCCTCGACGCTGGACGAAAGATGATGGACTTCCAGCCGCCGGCTCCACCGATGGCTCATCAGCAGATGTCGCTGGAGCACGCGGTGCTACCGCCTCCTCCGCAGTTCCAGTCCCCGCCTCCGCCACCGCATCAACAGATGAGACCGTTTGGCCAATCACCGCAAAGTGGCAACAAGTCTGTGGAGGGAGGGAAGGGTGCTGAAGAGGGTGGAAAAGAAGTGAACTCCACTCACTGGGAGCAGGGTCCGATTACGCCTGTTCCGCTGGACGGACAAGACGACGCCTCGGGGGTCAGCATAACCGGCGATGAGCCGGGCCCTCCCGGACTCTGGACTCCGCATTCTTCAGCGAAACGCCTTAAGCCTGACCCCGATGAGAGAACTGGAGGGTACCATCAACAGCAGCAGCAGCAGCAGCATCAGCAGCCCTTCGAGACGGAATACCTTCGACGTTCGGCAAGCTCTGAACACCAATACCATGGTCATCAACAGCCGCCACAACTGCCACCACATCCTCTTCAATTGCACCAGGCAGAGAATTCGATGGAACATGTAGTAGACAAGTTGGCCAAGTTCTGGCAGCGCAGTTCAGCCATTGGCGGAGCACATAGCGCGGTTAGTGACGGTAGACCTGGACGCGACATCAGAATAGAGGCTCTACTGAGTGGCTTCCCGCAAAACACGCGTTCCACCTTGGATCGAGATTGTGCCGACGAGGAAGCTGAAAGAATGCGTCACATGTCGCAGTCCTCAAGTCGGTCTCACGAGAGAGACTTCCCGACTGACGGCCGGTCGAATCGGCCGCCATCAGTGGTCGCCAGGGTGGCGAAAGATGGCAGCCAACGAGGCGAGAGTGGCGGTGGCACCTATCCGCACCAATCAGGATTCGACGGTGGTGGTGGTGGTGGCGGCGAGGATCGGGAACACGAGGGTGTTCCTCAATCGACCTCTCCATCGCCTTATCGTCCGACAGGCGAAGCACGACCTTTCGCCTACTCTAACCCCGACAACTATCCCGCCCCGAACGGAGGCAGTTTCTACGGCAACGACGGTGCCAAGGACGGAGGCTTGAGTGCTTACGAGTCGGCCCGAGACCTCTCCATTATGGGCGAGAATTCGTCCATCGGCGACCAATCACAGCGACAGCAGCCCAACGATGTCGGCTTCCCCGTGCGCTTCTCATCGCAGGCACAGTAGTAAATTGAAAACCGCAATCAGAAGGAGCCAATTGCCTTGCCCACCCCAAAAACCAACCCCCACTCGCGTCATTCAATTACTCGTGACTATTGCCACTCGCACACACACACTCCCGCCCTGGTTTTGTGTTTATCCCCTTACCGAGATAAGTTTACTTGGTAATTGCCGAAAACGGGCGGTTTATCGCACACAGACCAGTCGTTAGCAGGGTATTCTGTACATATGCACAAGCTTGTGCGCGTGTATCCGCTGAGATACCCGTCTCACGCGCACACATATATGTTGAAGTGGGATATCGGCAGCCCCCTCCCACACCGCCACCACCTCCTCTGCTTCCCGTCATCCCGTTTTCCTCAATCCCCTCGCCCGCCAACACGTGCCACAACGCCATTTATTTTTTCATATTTGTAGATCACGCTCCTCTATTACTACTACTCGCATTAAATATGTAGTTGGTTTTGTTTCGTTTCCATGTCTCATCATGTCCGACGTCGCCTCCCTTGTTCTTGCACGCACGCGCCGCTT